GCTTTGTTACAGGCATCGATTAACAAGTTTGTTCATGGTACGTGTTTCAAGTTATATGTATAGGCAGTGAAGCAAAAATTTCTTGGATTTTTCCGGGACCACGCGGTCTCGCAAATTTCTTGGCAAAAAGTGATCGGTAAAAACCGTGACAAAATGTCACGATCGAACATTGATTCTATGTTAACGTTTTTCTGTTATATAGTTTTCGAGGAAATCAATGATAATGACAAAACCCTCGATCAATGTATGAATGAAATAACGTTGAGACTTTCAAATCTGGAAACAATGCAAGATAGTACCAATGAAGCCACGTGTTGTGTATTTATTACGTCGATATTAAACGCATCTCTGGCTATCGTTCGACGAATTACCAAGGAAGAAAAAATCTATATAGCATACCAAAAAGGAGTTTCCGGTGAAGAAGCATCAGGTCGTGTCGATTATGCGATAAAAGGAAACGAAGATCTTATGTGTATAGCTGAAGGAAAACCCCGTAACGTCGAAATCGGTTACCTCCAGAACATCATGCAACTTGAGAGTGCATACCACACCAATAAGAAGAAGCGTACAGCGGATGAAGCTTTCAAAGATTATGATTACGATTATCTCTATGGGATAGTATCTACAGGTATTTATATCTCACCATTTCCGCAATAGAATTCTTGTCCATGTCACAGTTGATTTACATATTTATATTTAGCTACGGAATGGCATTTCATCGTTTTTGCTACCGATGGGATCTATTGCACCAGTAAAAGTGAATATCGAATTAATCTTTCCAAAACGGCACTCAAAAAAGATCTAGAATCTATGAAAGATGATGTGAAACAAGTATTAGGCGTTATTGTTGGTTTATTAAAAGATAGAATCAGTATCGATGACACCCCAGCCAGTAAGAAGGCTAGTATTGAGAAATTTACCAAGAAATAGATAGTTTTCCGCTTCACATGTATTTTTTATTGTGTTTAGCATGAGCCTACGACTAATAAAAAAAAAAGCGATCTCCATATTTACGGATCACGTATAACATATTTCGTTCTAATTTCTGGATATACAATTTCGCTGATTAATGTAGACCCTTTAGTTCATTAGTCTCCGCAATAATTTCGGACTATATACTAATTTTGTTTTAGCTCTCGTACATAGAAAATATATAGGTACGAAGAGAATACCTGTATATACCGAAAAATGGCAACTGAGGAAGTACCCAAAGAATCGTCCACCTCCAAGAGCGGTGCTGATGCTGAAATTTTCCAACTTGAAGCACTTTCCTTAAATTACCTACGAAGTCAAAATATTTCAGTAATTCCTGATAGTGACCGCATTCCAAAACTTCACCCGTGTAAACTCTGTAATAAATCCATACTTAATTTCCGATTCGAAGCATTTACAATACTAGCTTGTGGCCATATACCACACCGTTTGTGTATCGAGAAACATATTATGCAAGGAGGGGTGCGAAGACCTTCATGCCCAATCTGTAATTGGGATATCGAGATTAATAGAGAAGAACT